CCACTTTATTATTAGTATTAGAATTCCACAAATTTTTCAGTGCATTTGACAACTTGTAATTTAAATTACTTAAGGTCTTTACATTTCAGAGGATAGGAAGTCAACAAATAAACTAGTAAAATTAGAAAATTAAATCAGAAAGTTCTAAGTAAACAACACTAAATATATATTCAGGCAGGTGTTTACTATCTGGAAAACTAAGACTTACTTTTGTATATTTTGTAGTAGATGCTAATACAGGCATAAATCAAGTGTTAGAACCTTGCAATTTACCTTAAAAGCTTCCAGAGGAGTGAGTAAAGTGAGCAAAAACAGTAGAAAAAAGGAAGCCTTTTAAAAATCTGTTAAGAAAATTACAATCTTGTGTATTATAGACGTACTTCCTAAGCAGCAAAATCTTTGCAGGAATCAGCATAAAATGATACCAAACCTACTTTTATAACCATGCCTCTATACTTACTGCCACTTCTCTTTCTCTTCTGCTTTATTTAAAAAAAAAAGTGGAGAAAACATCTGTACATATTAGTTTTGAGTTGCTAACTTCACACTGGGGAGAACTGGAAATCCAGGATGAAACCTCAATTATTCACTTTCTGACATCCCCTCATTTGTTTTCTGCTCAGCTCAGATAATTTGTTAACGTTCTTTTCATAGTTGAAGAAAATAAGCAGAGCCCTTGGCCTTACACTGGAAACAGAAAGATGCCACAAGGGCTTGCAACAAGAGTCACTTTTCCAGACATGATTTTGCTCAAATTATACCATTTAGAGACAGAGCACAGTGAAAGCAATAAAAATAGCTTCAGCTTGATAAATGGTACAAGAACCTCTCAGCAGTCTCTAGTTGTCACCTCTGACCTAGAGAACATCCTTTCAAACCTGAAGTGCCCTCTGGAGACCTGACGTTCCTTGTAATTATTTACCATCTTCTGAACAGACCTGCTGGGATCTGTACACAGTAAAGCCTCAATTCCTGAATGAGCTAAAACCATAGCAACCCTCTATTTCCTTTGGACATGTTTCGTTTGCCCTCACAGGGCTTAATAACTTGAGCTCATGTAAAAGGTGAGTTACTAGCACCTGCTCTCATGTGAGATGAGCCTTTTAATTTAAGGTCATATTCTGACAAGGCACTTGCCTCTCTCAAGATTAGCTATCATCCTCTGACTAACTGCAAAAGACATCCCAAGTAATTGGAAGGCACTTTCCAAGCTGTTTAAAGCAGAGAGGCCCCGGATTAGAAGCAGTCCTATCCCACACATCCACTAAAGACATCCAAATTACAGCATGTAGGCTCTGAGTAGTAAAGTTTAGTTTAGTTTAGTTTATTTGATTTGTATACGGCCCTACTCCCGAAGGACTCAGGGCGGTGAACAGCCAAACAATAAAATACATAGATACAAAAATTTTTAAAAACCAGATAAAATCAAATTAAACCATTTTGGCCCAGACAAATTTAAACACCCCAATAATTTAAAAACAGATTAAAATTTACATATTAAAAGGAGGGAAAAGATTAGGCCAAGCCTGCCTGATGGAATAAAAAGGTCTTCACAGTGCGGCGGAAGGTGCGCAGATCCAGGATCCTCCGTATTTCCGGGGGGAGCTCGTTCCATACAGTAGGTGCCCCCACAGAGAAGGCTCTGTAAAGGTTTTTGTATAACCATAAACTATAAACGTTATTAAAGAGAAGAGCGGGACCAACTTCAGTTTCTCTGGGATCAATAAGAAAACCTTTAAATGTTGCACCATCATTCATTGTTCTCTGGATTAAGGAAGAAAATGCTTTTAACTATATTAGATGTACCCCAAATCTGGGCAGGAACAAGACTTGGAGGTAACGACATTTTTTTTTTAAAGTATGACCATTTGTATAACATTTTGTCTTTTTTAAATAAGAAAATACAGGTAGTTCTCAATTTACAACAATTTGTCTAATGGCTGTTTGAAGTTATGATTGTAACAGGTCTTCACGTTCACAGTATCACATTTTGTGCACCTGGCAACTAACTTATATTTATGAAGGTCCAGCATCCTGGGGTCACATGATTGGAATGCAATCCAATGATTGGAATGTTCCCAAGGGATTTCCAACAAGCAAAGTCAATAGGGAAAACCAGATTTGCTTAACAACCACAAGAATCACTTAATGACCACTACAAAAATTTTCATAAAATCAGATACTAGTCACTTAACAATTCCATCACTTAGCAACACATGTTCCAATCCCAACTGCAGTTGCAAATTGAGGACTATCTGTAAGTTCTCATGTATATCAATAACAGACCAATAAACTGGTCACAGCTAAAGTTAAAAACTTTACTGTTCAATGATGGATCTTTCAAATCTTAGAAGGAAGGTGTTTATGGATGTAGTATGCCCAACTTTAGAACTTGAAGGTAAGAGAGCCCACTCATCAATCTGAAGAAAACAAAAAGTCATGAAACTATTGTAATTGATGAAAGAGGAAATATGTCTAGGGAGAAAAATACCAAATTGACTGTTTTTGCAAGGTCCATAAACTCATGGTACTTTTCTTTTTTTTTTAATATTTTGCGGTATTTTTTCTTTTTTTAAAAAAAAAATCCATGAAACATGTTTTCTCTGAGACCTTGATTTGTCAAGCCTGAAAGTGAAGGGCCTTAGAGCAAAATGAAGCATTGGTATATAACCAATAAGGGTTGAGCGCTATATTCAGCAGTAGCCTATCTTGGTTATTTAAACCTTGCATTTGCAACTGAAGCATGAACTTATCCATGTCATGTGCCTAACTTTTCTTCAATAAGCTCCAGAATGCTATTGAGTTCCCACAGAAAGATTGATGGCTATATTCTGAGTGAAATTCTGAAATTCTTCACTTGTGAAACATGAAATGCCAATTTGGTTTGATCAGATGGGTAAACATTGAATGCTAACTAGTCATTTCTTATTACTTCGTCCTTTGTTACTTAAATGCATTTATTATACAAATATGAATCCAACAATGGGAATGTCTATTTTAAGACATCTAAATTCTCCAGAGACTGATTTCCAAAAAATTTGGCCTTGTTTCTTGAAACTCTATGATTTAAGTAAAATACTTGGGATGGGAACTGAATATAAACATTATTCAAATATGTCAGAAACTTTTTTCTCTTTTAACATCACAGACAGGGAAGATACTGTTCTATAAATAACATACAGCAAAGCTTCAACAAAATGACCTTGGAAGAAAATGCTAACATACAATGCATAATTTCTGGAGTTCTCCTCCTAGCAATGTATGAATCAAACTAATTTAACAGGATTCTTTGCATTCCTTTCTAAGGTTGATTTTCTTCTATACTCCCACCCATAATGTCAAACAGATGTCACCAAAGGACATGTAAATAATTATAGAAGCCTCAGACCTTTTCTGTAATTGAAAGACACTGCAACTGTATTGCCTCATTTCTTTTAACTGGTCTTTTGTTTTAATTGACCAGTTGAAGGATAAAACTGTTCTTCATGGCTATTTAAATAGCTTGTCAAGGGCTTGTTTTCATTCCATTTCCCCACAAAATATAAGAAGACTTATTTAAACTATTATTGACAATATAAATTATGATTGGAAATCCAGGAAAGACTATCCCAATATACAATGTCACTTTATAATTTTCAAATCTTCATTCTTATATCACAAATACAGATAGAAATTTTAACCACATACTGTTGGTTAAAAAAAAAAATATTGAAGGTACATTACTAACTTTTTTTAGATAAAATATTCTAATAATCACTTTGTTGCAGGTATTTTGGCTGAAAAAAAAAATAAAGAACTGAAAACAGAGAGAAAATATGTGCTAGCTTCATACTATTAATGTATTAAGAATCATTCATTTACTGAGACAATCAAGTTGTCTATACTGTGTGCACATACACAGAGAGAGAGAGTATCCACAATACAGCCAAGTTGTATATCAGCACAAATTATGCAGATGAATTTTTTTTTATTAATCACTAAAATACTGAAATACAATAAGTGGCTTTTAAAACAAAAGTCTCATGGTTACTGAGCTCATATCATTATAATTCACAAATATATTTCTTTTATATAATTTGGTATTGTAATGCAAATTTTAATTATATCTTTTATCTTGATCTAGATGGGAATACAAAAGCATGACCTTGTTTACTTGAAGAGCATACTGAACAAATACAGCAGGGGTCATGAGAGGTGATAATAATCACAGCTGTCCTATTGCTATGCAAAATCATTATTGGAATAAAAATCAGCGGCTTTATGGACACCTATTTCCTAAACTCCTATATCCAAAACTAATTTGTTTCTTCAGACTTCATCACAAATTGTAGCTTTTCACAACATGAGTGAGCTTACCCTCTCCAGGTACTCTTTATTTCTTTATTTTTTAAAAAAAATCTTCTCCTTCCCCAGCATGTGAAAAATCAGACGAAATGTGGTAGCACCTTTTCAAAGTAATTAATTTCATTAAAAGACATAAGATTTCATGGACTGTAGCTCACTTCATCATATTTTTTGCCACTATAGACTAATATGGCTGTCCTACAATTTGCCAGCATGTGAGGAAATTAAGAAACTTCATATCCAATTTTATTAATCACAGTTTGACATACAGTAATTAATTTTAAGAATGCTTTGTTTGAGGAAAGCCAACATTTGTGAGACTTATGAACCTACTTTGTTCCACCAAACATTTTGAGATTAACCATCAGTTTCACAGTGTGTTAATAGAAACCGGAAGTAGAAATTTGTGATCTCCTTGTAGCCGTATTAGAGAAGAAAAGGGAAACAGAAACATAGCGACAGTTTTGACTTCACAATTAATCTACAGAGTAGTAAAAAGACAAGTAAATGTTTCCCAGCAAAAGATTTTATATAATAAACTAAGACACATTTCAAAATCCACTTCAAGAAGGCATCATACCAAAACCTCACAGCCAAAATTGCTGACTTAAGAACCAAAGCACATATAGGATGCCAAAAATAAAAACTATACTTACAGTCTGGTTAGCTTCAGTGTGTTCTGAAAAAGCAATTCTGGAAGAACTTGCAGTTTATTTCTGTTCAGGCGTCTAAAGAAAGAAACTCAGTGTTAATAGAAGATCTGTGAACATTACCAGAAAGCAATGTGCATTAACACTATTGTTACAATGGATATTGCAGACAGTTTGCAAGAAGTTTTCTTTCTTTTAACGCAGATTGCTTTTTTCAGAAAATTTTTAAAGAAATAGTTGATTTTTTTTAAAAAAATCAAATACTTAATACTCATTGCAGTTAATTTGATACTTTTCCAGCTCTTCTTTCCCTTCCTCCCTCCCTTCCCCACACATACACACACACACAATCATGTATGTACCGGTATGTATATATTTCTGAAAGATCATGTTAAGAGTTCCATTTGGCAGGCCTTAGGCAGCAGGTCTTTTGGAATCTTCTTCCCCAGAGGTGAAGTTGATCTCATAACCTCTGAGCTTCAAATGATTCCTTAAGACCTGGTTGTGTTGGCAAGCTTGGAGACTCCAAGGGATAAATGAATTTGTGAGGTAACTTCATTATAATTAACATCCCATGTTCCTTGTTAGTTTAGCTTATTATAGATTTTTATTGCTTTTTATAATTAATAACAATATTATTAATTATATTAACACTTTTTAATTTTATAATTAAAACAATAATGGTTTTATGCATTTGTTTATTGTTTTTAGCTTTGTTGTATGCTGCCCAGAATTGGTTTTGGTATGATGGACAGCCATATAAATTAGACAAATAAATAAAAATAAATAATCATGGTTTACTATGTCATGGGACAACCAGGACAACCAACAATGCATTTCAAATTATCAGCAGAGGTCCAATCTCTTATGTCTTAATCTTCTCATCGTTCCCATCACCCATCTCCTCCCACTTATGACTGTATGACTGTAACCTTGTTGCTGGTATCCTTACAATTTATATTGATATTGTTTCCTGATTGCTTATTTGTAACCTATGACAAGTGTTGTACCTTATGATTCTTGATGAACGTATCTTTTCTTTTATATACACTGAGAGCATATGCACCAAGACAAATTCCTTGTGTGTCCAATCATATTTGGCCAATAAAAATTCTATTCTATTCTATTCTATTCTATTCTATTCTATTCTATTCTATTCTATTCTATTCTATTCTATTCTCCCAAGTGAAAACATTAATGGAATAAGTGGCTGGTTCTGATTTCCATTCTTATAATGTTGGAAGCATTCACCTACTTTTGATTAGGAGAAATGTTGAGATCAGCCCTATATTAGCTGCAGTGGGTAAGCTGCTTTGAATAGTGTTGCACAATATTATCAGAGAGGCACTATACACTGGCTTCTTCATTAAGCTTCAATAAAGTTTCAATATAAAACTTAATTTGCTCTATTGTCATCTACAAAGAAACCAGGGAATTTTAAGTGTGGGTTTTGCCTTGCCCTCCTCCCCAATGTGACAATATCACAGGAGCAGAATCTTGCAAACTTAATGCTGCCCTAAAATATGGGAAGATAAATTCCAAAGCCAGTTCTTGATATATATTTTTTTATGATGGAGTCAGCATACAGCAACACAAAACAATGATTCTTATTCAAGCCTATAGAATACTCAGACAAAAGGAAAAGAATTCAAGGTTGTAAGAACAGAACCTTAATTGTTTTGGCTCTGGTGAATGCATGGGTGACACCATGTTCATTTTTCTGAAAATAACTAGAACATTGTTCTAAGGCTGTTCTAAGGGTTGTTCTAAGGATTAAATAAATCTGAAGTACTTTTGCTCATGGTTATTCTTGGATATTCAAACCTCATTGCAGTCTTATATGCATTGTCATGTAAGTGGGGCCACATCTGAAAACCCCAGAAACATACTACTACAGTAGTATGTCATATTGCTGACAAATTTTCAACTAAGAGAAAAGTCTCAGATCAGCAGTCTGTCAGCTGTGCTAGCTGATAACTGTTTTCAGAGTGCAAAGAGGTGTGAGGTTGAATGTAGCATCTGTCTGCAATTATTTAAAGCAGCCTTTTCCAGGGATCATGCAACTTCTCTTAGCAACAGCTGTACAATCCCAAGAAAAATGTGGATAAGGAATCACTACATTCATAGCCCACATGTGATGAAACACCTTTTTGCTCTATTTATTATCCTCTTTAAAGTCTAAAGTAGAATGGATCCTGATTGCAGTTGTCATCTGAGCTTCACCATCTTTTAAAAAGCTCCTGTGCTCCCCTCTCCCCTTATGTATGTGCACCATTGGTTTCACAACATGACCTGTAGCAACATACAAAAATGATTTTTGCTCTTGCATGCATAGTGTATTCAGCCGCAAAACATTTAACTTTCTTTCTGCTGTCAGCTTAAAAGATTCATTTCCCAAACAAGCATTTAACTCTACTATCGGATACTCTGATTTATTGACCGCTGATTTGGGGTTGGTAACTTGCTGCTACTGCTTTTGCCTTATTCTTTTTAGAAAAACATGAAAGCAAATATTCTTTTATTGTGCATTGCTTTAAAAGCAACATCCTTCTCTGAAACTAAATAATGGGGATAAAACAAATCTAAAATGAATTTTAAAAAATCTTTTTTAGAAAAAATAGAAAACCCTTTCAGTTTAGATTCTGTTTCAAATGAATCACTTCACCACTTCGGCTAGCCTGCGCTGCCAGCCCATCAAGCCCTTGCCACCTCAGAAACAAAAAGTTGCAACTTTGCTAAAGGAGTAGAATTACCCAGTGGCTAAAAAGAGTTATTAGAGCCAGGAGTGGCTTTTGGTGGTCTGTTCTTAGCTGGAAATGAGCCTCCTGAGCATCCCCAAGAGTGTCATGTCCTGCCAGAGCTCATGAACTTTGTGGTTTGCATATTTCCTCTACAAAAAGAAGAAATAGCAAAAAGTACCAGTCTCAACTTTTTAACCATAATTATCTGTTAGTAGCGTGGGACAGTTGTTTCTGCTTTCTAATCCTATTTTATCAGTTTGCATGAAATGCTGGAGCAGAAAACTTTTGACAGATTTAAAATATATGCTTGTACAAGTTGTTCATCAAAATGTATTTAGATACATTCTGATTAGCATGCAACTCGCTATCTTTCCATTCCTGTAAGGCAACATTTAAAACACATACACACATACAAATATGTTTTATTACCCCATATCAAGTACTGTAGAGAAATGTTTCCAATTTTGAAATACCTTGCCCTATTTATAGATATTTATCCACAAAATATGCATGGATTTATTTTTATAGTCATATGATAATGATCTGTTAGTCCAAAGACTTTCCGCCCCACTCCTTGGAGCTATAACAGAATTATACTATTGTAGTCTGGAATGATCAATGCTCTGGCTTCTTTGATACGTTACTAAATTACCAGATTCTCCTTTTGATGTTTTTCTAATTGCTATTTAAATTTCTTTAAAAATAGCAATCTACTAATTTATTGGTATAATTTAAGATTAATTTATTACTTTAAATGTAAGATATAAAACTATTCAATACAAATTCCTAAAAAATTCTTATTACGGATCTGAGTTTTATGAAAAACAGGATAGTATTAGACTGATGAAATAGCAAAATGACACCTTTCTTACATCATCCCAAGTTTTTCCTTGCCTCAACGATTTCAAAATATACATTTTGCATTGGACAATTCATCTAGGATAGCATATTGGAACTGTAGGCTTTCTGTCATATGATCCAAGAAAGCAAGTTAAATTAGCATCTCAGGACAAACTTTGGCACCGGAGTGTGACTAACAGAGGGTGGGCTAATGTTTACATTAATGTGTTTAAAAGTAACAAAACAAAAACAGAATACCTTGTTCTTTAGCTTCCAATCCATCTGCTTTTCAACAGAGGCGTGGAACATTGTATTTGAGACAACAGTGCTTTCTTTAGAAATGAAATAACTGTAACCATTGGGAACATCTGGGTGTAACTTTATTATTGTTTAGAGGGTTTAAAAAGTGACAAGAACTAGCCCATAGCTGCATGTTGTTTATACATAACCTAATGGTTAATTATAAAATTCATTTAGTTAATTATGAAATTCATTATCTCAATATCTACAGGTTCTTTGAAAAGCAAACTAATAACTGTCAAGATATATTAATATGTGAAACCGAACATCAAACTCCAAGTGGTTTATACTTTAACAAGCTATTTTATATAATCTCTACTTGTTTCCCAGAGAAACTGTTGGAGTCCAATTAATGTTTATACAGAAAACCAATATGCCAGCCCTGACAAAGTTAATTTGTTAAAATTGAAATTGTTTAAAATAGTACAAAGACTTTTAAAAGAATATTTACTGAGACAATTTGAAGCAATGAAAAATGAACATGGAGAGAGAACAGATGCTGGAAATAAACACATGTGGAACTGTGAAGCAGGATCACAGTCTATAGGGGAAGGGATATCCCAAGATTAAAATAAAAATATTGGGAGTAACTATTTGTCTTCTTCCCCAATGACTGGAATGAAACAGAGTTAGGGATCCAGATGAAACTGCACATTGTAGATTTATTTTTCCTTTTCTTCTTGGTGGCTATGGAGATGTGTCTTGATCTCTACATTTCTAGCAGAAAGTAGGTGTAGCACTCCTTTTTACTAGATTCTTTTTAATATGTAAATTTCAGAGGCAAACTGAGAGTCAATTCACACACTTTATGGAAAAGGATAAAATGCACCATTTTAAAAACTATTTCCTATCTTGACGCAAATTTATTTCTACTTATATTTCTGCTCTTATCCGGGCTGCAGATAGTTGCCCAACCACCCTATTTAGATGGCTCATTCTTTGATGGGAGCATGAGCTTCAGGATCTTCTGCATGGACACTATGAGGAATATTTTAGTTGTTTGATGGATAAACTCACTTGATGATGGACTTCGACCGGGCAAGTGCTGTCAACATGCCTAGACACAACCTTGCCAGTTTAACTGGGATGGGCTTGAAGCTGTAATTTCCAGGGAAATGGACAGTGCAAATCCAACCAATTGCTTAATAGATCCATGGCCTTCCTGTTTGTAAAAGTCGCCTAGGTAATATGCATCTG